TAATCAAGTGGTTTATAATTATGTGGTGTTATAATTATTGATCCTTCGTGCCCTTCTCCGAGTCGTACTCAACTTCCTGGGACCATCCTCCAGGAAGATACCACACAGTTAGAAATTCAAGTTTCCAAACTGTAGATAATTAATTAAAATTTTAATTTCTCATTCAAATCAAACAATAGTTTTAAATAATTTTTAAACTTTTGCTTGCAGTGGCATATCTGAAAATGAAAATGTAAATTGTTCTATTTATTTAGATATTTCTGTATCATTTAAAATGTTGATTTCGCTAAATTTTATTTTAAATTAAATTTGGAAAAATTTAAGGCTTTCATTTTGATTTCGTGTCCATAAATAAATATAAGCTATTTTTGACAAACTGTTAAATCAAAAACTGTCAATTTGCACTTTTAAAATAAAATTAAACCTATGCATACTTTCGGTTAAAGTTATAAAATTAATTAATCAATCTTAATAAATATTAATTCTTAAAATTAAAAATATTTCGACTTTTCAGAATTAAAACATAAATGTAATAATTGATTTACAAAGGGGAACGTGAAACAAGGGTGTATGCATATACTGACAGACAAGTCTTTTATCCATGTCTTATAAGCCATGGATAAGACCTATACAGCTTATTCTTCTAAACAAATAAAACCAATAATCCGACCAACCTCTTATTTATTCTAAATAATAAAAAATATACAAATGTGTATTTATACACTTACTGTAAAATGAATAGACCACCGCAGTTGGTGGTCTATTGAGTTCTTGATGTAAACAATGAACCAATAATAGATGACGATAATAAATAAGATAAATTAACTACAATTAACAACAAATAATATCTATAATTATTAATAATAATTATAAAACCCGATTTCTTTCAAAGCAAAAGGGAACCCCGAAAAGAACAAAACATTAAAGGTAGACTCATACTAGACTCTGACCCTCGTTCAGAGTAGCAAAAGTACAAAAATTTGTGAAACTGCTGCTTTGAAAGTATTAAATTCACTGTAAGCGTGAAAAAATTACTGCACTGAAAATGATAATTTTACAAATTTCTGTAAAATTACAAATTGCAATGATGAATCAGGAGAATTCTTTTTTCACAGTGTGGTTTTGTATCACTTTACTAGGCATCTCGGTCATAAGTGGCGATATTTCGTACCACAAGTGGAAGAGAGTTCGTCCAACTAGTGCCACATTCGAGTCAGGGTGAAATCACATGGATGCGTAAAAAGTAAAGGCCTAAGCACAACTAATTCTTGAACGGGAACGCAAACGAAATGGAATGAGTAAGAGAAGGACAAACATTATGTCTATCCTTCTCTTACTCATTCCATTACGTTTGCGTTCCCGTTCAAGAATTAGTTCTGCTTAGGCCTTAAAACTTCATCCGGAAACGCATGAGTGTAAGTGACATAGATAGACAGGATATCTAGTGTTCTAAAGACAGTAAATTACGTCAAGAAGAGAAAGAAGATTACGGTAATTTACCGGTAAATTACCGGATCGTTTTTTCTCTGAGAATTTATGAGAATTTTTACTTGTACTTTTATCCTTTGCTGACACGTGCGTTGTCATGACAACGTGTATGACGAGGATAAAAGTACAGACATATGTTCCTGACTGTATAATTATTATTATAATGAAAAATATCTTTGTTACAATATATAATATATATATTAATATATTAATATTGATATAATATTACATTATTATATTGAATCAGGTACATTTATATGCCTGCACTTTTATCCTTGTCTAACACACATGTTGCCATGACGACGCACGTGTTAGACAATGATAAAAGTGCAGGCATATATACCCGACTGTCATCTTGTCAGTAAGAACACAGAGAAAATTAGGGTGCAGTCCCATGGAGCAGATTAGCAGATTAGACGTTGACCAATAAAAAAACAGTCTCTAACGGAAATGCAAAATTTGCCGCGAGAGACTAACTTTTGATTGGCTGAAATCTATTCTGCTAATCTGCTCCATGGGACTGCACCCTTACAGTCTATTATATTCATTGTTCAAATTATTCATTTAATAACATGTCGGTCCGTTATTTATAACTTACATACTATAAAAATACATATTTAAATTTAAAAAAGGCAATTATCAATCACTTAAATGAATATTCTCATAAATTCTCTTTTTTTCGGTAATTTACCGCAATTTTCTTTCTTACATTCTCAGGTTTCAATTTTACCGAGAATTTTAAAACACTAAGGATATCCTTTTCATACTCGAACATTTACGGATGAAGTTTTACTTTTTACGCATCCATGTGATTTCACCCTTAGTTCGTGCGACTTGTGAAGGAGCATTTACACCTACTACGATTAAAGTCCAAACCACAAATTTACATTGAAGAAAGCAAGACACACTGTATATCCGTCTCTCTTTCTCCAATGTAAGTTTTGTAGTTTGGACTTTAACTGTAGTAGGATTTAATGCTCCCTTAGGGTGCAGTCCCATGTAAGCAGAAAACGCTTTTCATGAGAGTGTGAAGGATAGCGATAACTTCTGTCCTTCACACTCTCATGAAAAGCGTTTTCTGCTTTCGGTTTTCTGCTCACATGGGACTGCACCCTTAGACGGACTCTGTTCCACTTGTGGAATATAGATTTATTTAAAGGTTTATTCACACAAATAATTCCTTTAAATTTGTTTGATTATTTTGTCCAACCCTGAACTTGGCTAGTATGTTTTGTTCTTTTCGGGGTTCCCTTTTGCTTTGAAAGAAATCGGTTTTTATAATTATTATTAATAATTATAGATATTATTTGTTGTTAATTGTAGTTAATTTATCTTATTTATTATCGTCATCTATTATTGGTTCATTGTTTACATCAAGAACTCAATAGACCACCAACTGCGGTGGTCTATTCATTTTGCAGTAAGTGTATAAATACACATTTGTATATTTTTTATTATTTAGAATAAATAAGAGGTTGGTCGGATTATTGGTTTTAATTGTTTAGAAGAATAAGCTGTATAGGTCTTATCCATGGCTTATAAGACATGGATAAAAGACTTGTCTGTCAGTATATGCATACACCCTTGTTTCACGTTCCCCTTTGTAAATCAATTATTACATTTATGTTTTAATTCTGAAAAGTCGAAATATTTTTAATTTTAAGAATTAATATTTATTAAGATTGATTAATTAATTTTATAACTTTAACCGAAAGTATGCATAGGTTTAATTTTATTTTAAAAGTGCAAATTGACAGTTTTTGATTTGACAGTTTGTCAAAAAATAGATTATATTTATTTATGAACACGAAATCAAAATGAAAGCCTTAAATTTTTCCAAATTTAATTTAAAATAAATATTAGTCAAATCAACATTTTAAATGATACAGAAATATCTAAATAAATAGAACAATTGACATTTTTATTTTCAGATATGCCACAGAAGGCAAAAGTTTCAGTTGAAGAGGCTGTAAATGCTATCTGTGAGTTTAGCAAAGCTTTAAGAGGGGGTGAATTGCCTCACTATACTCACGAATTTTATAAAAATTTAAGCCAATTGTTGAATGAGCAATGGAATGCTCATAACGTGTACACAAATTTAAGAGAAAATCGAAGAAAATTAAAGACAAGTTTTTAAAAGGCTACAGTTAAAAGAGCCTGAGAAGATTTCATCAGAATTGATTGACGAATGTGACACTAATCAAGAACTTGTCAATTTTTATTCCGATGACGAAGATGACAAATATAATGATGATATAGACAGCGATGAAATGGACATTTCTTAAATTATTTAAATCAAAAAATGAGGACACATTTAATTTCGTTTTAAGGAATGAAATTTGGAAAAAAAATTGAGCCAGTTGTACAAACTTATAATGGCAGAGAATTTTTGGTGCTTCCTCCAGGTGAATGGACCGACATTGTTGCGGATGAATTCTGGAGACAATTCAGACTACAATGTGCGTTTGTATTTCGATATTGCCGAGTATCCGAAAATCCAGGAAAACCATACGTACAAATTCAAGGAAGATGCAAATGTCAAAAGTGCAATAATCAGTTTATTGGTTTAATTGAAGAGAAACCCATTGTTGGAAGCGACGTATGGATGACAGTTGCGTGTAAGGATACTAGGCAATCTTCTCACGAACCAATAAAGAGACAATTACGGAATAAGAAACGACAAAATATTGGAAATGAAGTTGCCATGGTAGGTGCAGCAAATTACAGGAGAAAACTTGCATTGGAAATACAAAATTTAGGGGATATTGAAGCTCCAGTTTTATATAAAAATGAAGTTTTACGAAAATTAATTCAAGAATCGAACGACAAAAAACTGGGTATAGTAGCCAAAGACGGAAATGACCCATGCAATATTATGAGGAAACTAAAATATGATCCCTTATATGCTGGGAGCATTCAAGACATTGGAGTTGACAAATTTTTTTTAATTTATCTTTTACCAGAGCAGATTTTTATTTATAAAGAGTATTGTAGACTTTTTAAAGATTTTGTTACATTATGCATTGACAGTACTGGAAGCCTTGTTCTTCCTTTACAAGTTACAGAGAACATTAAATCGCCCCACATATTTCTTTATGAAATAGTAATTAATTTTTTAAACATTACTTTGTCAGTGGGTCAACTTTTGTCTGCGTCACAAACCACTAATAAGATTCTATATTTTTTAAATGAGTGGTTGACATCAGTCGAAATTAAACCGAAAGAAGTCGTGTGCGATTACTCAAGAGCACTTTTGGGTGCAATATCGAGAGCATTTAATCATATGTCGATACAGGAATATATACAGGATTGTTTCTTTGTATTGCAAAACGAAAATGATAAAACTTTGGTTGATGTGAGCTTCATTAGAATTGATGTAGCACATCTTGTAGCAATTCTTTGTAGACAAAAATATTTTACTTCACGAAATAAAGCAGTAAAAGATTTTTTAATTCGATGCGTAGCGCTAATGATATCTTGTGAAAACTTGGACGAATTTCATGAAATATTATTGTTAACGTTAACAATTGCTATTCATCAATATGGCGGGAATCAAACTCTTGACAATTCTGCTATTTCGCCAGCTGAAGAAGCAAGAGTAAAATTATTAAATTTCATGAGCAATGCAAAGCACAATGCCATCGACGATATTGTTCCTGATGAGGATAGTCCGGAATTTCAATTGTTAATCGAGAAACTTTCATCCAGTGGATTTGATCCCAATAATCAGGATTTATTCCTCAATCAAGAACCACAATCAGCAGAACGCATCAAGAACTGGGTACATAAAATTAAAGATGAAGCTGAAAAGGGTAAAAAAAACAGTACATGACCGGCCTAATCCGTATTATCTTCCTGGGTTTTTTAAACAACTGATTAACTTAAGTGCGGAATTTCCTATTTGGACAGCAGTTATGAAGAAAAACTTTAATTCCAAATATATCAGGGCCTCATCTTGTCATGTCGAAGGAGACTTTAATCAATTAAAAAACAATATTCTCAAACACGTTCGCGGTGCTTTGCGAGTTGATAAATTCTTTAAAATTCATCACGAAGCATTAAAGGCTCAATGTTTACTGGGATCAGCTAAAATTACCGAAGCTCGAATGCTACCACCGAATATTGTTACGAACCCTCGATAAAAACTGCACAAATATGAACAAACTGAACAGGAGCAACAACATCAGCAGTTTTATTCAAATTCATGTGACGATCTTCCTTCTTTTAATGAAAATGATCATCACTCACCAAATATGCAGAGCAGTAAACTTTCTACATTTTCTAATGTAGACCGCACGAACGAAACTCATGAAAAGTCAAATTTAAACGACAAAACTATTGTAAAATCTCCAGTTGAAGAAAGTGTATTTACTGAAATGAATTTGGTAAAAGCTGATTTATATGAAACGAAAAATTGGAGGAATAAAGTAAAAAAAGATGACTTTATCGTTTCTTCCTCTCCGCAAAATGGATTTGAAAATGATTTGAAAAAAGAAGGAAATACAAAGAAACGGCCACTTAAAGTCGAAGACAGGAAATCTTCAAAATATTTTAAACAATTTCCGGAAATTAAATTGCATCACAACATTGCCTCGACAGTGAATACGAAATTTACAAGCTCGTCAAAATATTGGCTACTTATCAATGGTAACCGTTTTTCAAAACCATTAGTAATTGGTTATCAAAAATATATGATCAGAAATACATGTCAATACGATGCATACGTTCAAATTTTATTGACAGGAGCAATAGAAAATCCAGAGTACTTAATGTATATTAAAACTTCGAAGAACAGTACTTGTAAATTTATTGAACAATTGCTTACCTCAGGATCAGACGTAATTAAAAATCCATCCATTTACAAAGAAAGATGTTTAATTTTAAAAGATTTTCCTAGACGTTATAATAAGGAAAATAATAATGACGATATCGAATCACCTAAAATTTTAAAAGTGATTGATGTTTACTCTAATGTAGCGGATATGTGGGAGTATACAATGAAAGGTGAGCCAAGTGCATTTAGGATGAGGAATTGCAAGTGTGGATTTTCCAACATAGAGGAAGTGTCGTACTTTTATTTAAATCCGAAAGAAATTTCTACAAATGGATTTAGAGGACTTCAGGAAGCCGTTACTGATAAATGGGGAAACGCAAATGTGCAAAGTTGTGAATGTGGTCAAAAGCCCTTTGAAACCTTAAAACTTAATGCGCACATATTTATAGACGGAGATGTGAGAACAATTGACGGAAAAGCAACACCTCAGAAATGCAAACCTTCAGATGTTCCTCGCTACATTACATTATACGGCGACAAATTAACGTTAGTATTTAATATTATTATTTTCTATTCTAAGTAGTATATAGTAAATTACTAATTCATATTTAACATAAAATAAATTTTTTAAATAATAATATTCTATAAAATTTTCTCATTACAATTTAGTCGCAATTTTTTTTTAAATTTACATATAATATGTTTTAAGACATTACAAACATAAATAAAAGAAATAAATGCAGAAAATCTTACTAGATTTATATATATATATATATATATATATATTTACTTCCTTAGATTAGCAGGCATCGTACTATACAACGGAACAAATCATTACACTGCTCTTTGCACTAGAAAAACAACAAAATGGGAAATCTATGATGACTTGTCGACAAAGGTCATTTCTGCACATAATCAAGAGATACAACCAGGAGGAATTATTTACCTGAAAGTGAATTAATAAAATATATTATGCTATAAACGTAAGTTACTAAAAAAGTATAATAAATATACCTATAATTATGTAGAAAGAGTTTAATTATGTTACAAAAAGGTATTATAATCATTAAAAAAGACTTTAATGTTTAAGAAATTTTAATATTTGGTTGTATAGTAGAATTTTATAATTTAACTGTGATGAGAATCAGCCGCAGTATTCACAGTCCAAAAAATGTGTTTAGAAACTTATTTGTGATAAAGAAATAAAATGTTATTAAATAATAATGTATACAGGGTATAAGGTAGATACGAATATTGAAACTTCTATTTGATATCTTCAGCGATTTTATACACCTTCAAAAGTAAATAATAAGACAGAAATTTTGTCAAAAAGATTTGTTAATATCGTTGATAAATCTTAAATGCTTACGAGATTTTAATATTATACACGGAGAGAAAAATCTGCCTTTTATAGTATGAAATAGATTGCTGCTATTTTTCTTTAAACTTTTCATACTAATAGAGCAAAGATTTGAGAATTTTTAGGATAGTATTTATCCGTACTAAAAAAGCATAGTATATATGCTTCTATAGTACAAAACATGTAGTTTAATAGCAACAACGCCATGCGAAGATCGCACATAACATCATCCTACTATGTTTGCATAAGTTCTATGCTTTTTCGGGGATAGACTCTTGCAACTGGCGATTAGGCCACGCCCACCTTTACTGAATTGGAACTGCCCTAATCGCCAGTTGCAAGAGTCTATCCCCGAAAAAGCATAGCACTTATGCAAACATAGTAGGATGATGTTATGTGCGATCTTCGCATGGCGCCGTTGGATTAAAAGTATAATAAGTATGTAATAAGAGGCTATATGACAAACTTTATTAGCATAGACAAGTTTCATGCTAAAAAGACATACGATTGTACTATAATTACTCAAATTTCATGTCTATATAGCATAGAAAATTTCTGTGCATTAAATGTAAACCTTTCTATACTATAAAAGGCAGATTTTTCTCTCCGTGTAGGTTCTAATAAAATTTTATGGTTTAATTGTGATGAGCATCATAGACAGTATTCACAATCCAAAAAAGTATGTTTGGAAATTTTTATTGTGATAAAAAAGTAAAAACTAAAACAACAAAAATAAGTGGAATTAATATTGCAAGGGATATAACGTATAATTATACTAATTACGTGCATCGTTATAGTATAGTTTATATTAATCAAAAAATAACGTATATTATTCATATTATTATCATTATTAATAAAAACGAATTCATACAAAATATATTGCATAATTACATTGTTATTGACTATTAATATTAGATATTAAATAAACATTAACATTCCAATAATTGAACCCGGCAATATTATCAATATTGTAATATTTAAAAAAATTAAAAGTATTTTTTTCAACATCTTTTGAAGATTTAATTAGGCATTTACTTTAATTCAGATTTTCAATAAAATTCTGAAATTAAAATCGTCAAAAACTTTCAATGCCTATTTAAAAAAAAATCTCTTAAAAACTTGTTTTTTGACAAATTATTAAATCAAATACATAAAATAATTTTTGAGTCAGAAAAATTTTCAAAATTTAAAATCACGAAATTTTTGAAAATAAGTTGAACTCAAGAATACATTTTTAAAAATTATTTAAAACTATTTTTTGATTTGAATGAGAAATTAAATTTTTAATTAATTATCTACAGTCTGGAAACTTGAATTTTTAACTGTTTGGAATTTTGAATAATTGACTTTTTAATTTGTTCAAATGTAGAAGAATTAATTGAGGGTTTTAAATAAGTAAGACTTACAATAATTAAAATTTGGAATGATTGATTTATTATTAATTAAAATGTGCAATTGAATTTTTAATTAAAAAAAGAAGAAGCATTCAGAAAATATTTTTATTTTTGGACAATATTAAAAAAGTTGCCTGACTTTTTCCTGACATATTCATGACTTCCCTGATCACTGGACACCCAGAAAATGATATATTTAAATTTACGCGCTGAAATTCTCTTTCACCTTTATGTCCTTTGACAGAAGCACACCATAAATAAATATAGTGCAAAAAATTTACAATTACATTATTTATTTTATTTTTTATTCATTTCACGTATTTTTCTCATATTCACATAATATTCGCATTAAATATTATAAAATACTCTTAACTAAATAAGTTTAAAAGCTAAATTATAGATAATAAATTTTAGGGGAGGATGGAAATTGAGCAATCCAGTGTGACGTCACAACGCGTCGGTAAAAGCAATATCTGTACGTAGTTAACACGCGTGGGGCATGTTTACATTGCTTTTAATAGCAACTTGTCAGAATTTGCTATTATAATTAAAAAATTAATATAAAATGCCTGCCACTTGTCTTGTGCTTGACTGCAAAAGTCGTAGTGGAGTTGATTCCGTGAAATTTTTTCGAATTCCAGTGGCTAGGAAATTAAAATCGGAAGATTTGTGTAAATTGGTACATGACCGGCGAGAAAAATGGTTACGTGTTTTGAAACGAGGTGAATTAACTGAAACCCAACTAAAAAATGGACGAATTTGTTCTAAACATTTCATTACAGGTATGTATTAATTAAATTTTATAATTTGAAGAAATATATGTACATATTATACATGTTATTGTATTGTATATATAGTACATATATATTACATAACCTATATATAGCTATGGAATACACGCATCTATGTTTATATATTGAATGACCAGAATTATCAGAAAAATAATTAATATTATACACAATTATATATGTATGTATTATAATAATTCTTTTAAGGTAAACCAGCTGCATTTTATGAAAGTCATGATCCCGATTGGGTGCCGAATCAACACATGGGATACAGTGTAGGTGTTATGTTAAAGAAGCCCTCGGATGTAGAAAGATACGAGAGGACAAAAAGAAGAGTAAATATCCAACAATTTAGATTTATTAAGAGTCTGAAAAAAGTTCATAAAAATTTATTCTTTTTACAATTGCATATCTTATCCATGCTAAACAGGGTTGCCACATGTCAGGGAAGTCAGGAAAATGTCAGAGGAGAAGTTTTTTGTCAGGGAAGATTTTGAAATTGGATGAAATTAAACATGAAAAATATAATTTAAATTTTCAAAAAATTGAACAAAATTTTATAAAGTAAAATACCGATAAAATGAATTTGGAAATGTCTTTTAAGCTTTATAACATTCAGGGTTACCATGGCTCAGGGAAATCAGGGAAACGTCGGGGAATTTTGTCAAAAGTACTGGAAAATATAAAAGTTGTATAAATGCTACAAAAATTACGTTTTTTAAAAATTTTAATTCAAATTTTAAGTTTTAAAAATATTTGTTTAATTTTTTTATAGTTGAAAATCTCTTCAAACTTTTGCATTTGGGTCAGGGAAAAACAAAATAAAATTTTAGTGACAAATCTGATCACTCTAAATTTTAATGAATTAAAAATTCAATTATTCCAAGTTCAAATCAATTAAAAATTCAATTATTTCAAATTTTAATCAGTTAATAATTTAATTACTCCAAATTTTAATCAACTGTAATTTTTCTTGATGAAAACGTTCACTGATAGAAATAATGTAAATTTAATTATTCAAAATTTTAAACATTAAAAGTTGAAGTATTTTTAACTTTTATGAATTTAAAATTAAATGATTACAAATAATTTTTAATAATTGAATTTCATTGGAATTAAACTCAAAATGTTTGTCAATTTAAATTATTGAAGATTTGTTTACATACTTCAGACAATAATTGAATTTTTGAGAATTTTTAAATTCAAAAATTTTTTAAACAATTGAATTTTGGAAAGAGCTACAAAGATTTTATTAAATAATTCAATTTCAAGATATTTGAACTTGAAATTTTTGTAAATTTGAACTGAACAATTTTTACAAATTTTTCACAATAATTGAATTTTAGAAAATTTTTAATTGAAAAATGTTTTAAATAATTGAATTCAGAAAGATTTGCACTTTAGATTGTTAAAAATAATTGAATTTTGAATAATTTATTGTTTATGTTGTTAAAAATAATTGAATTTCCGGAAATTTTAAATTAAAAAGTTAAAAATTTCTATCAAAAATACTAAAAAAAATATTAAAATTTTAAAAATGCACCGATAATTCCATTTTTTTAAAATTTTAATTAAAATTTTTGCGTGTAAAAATTGTTGACTAATTTTTTAAAAAGGACAACCTTTTGAAAATTTTTCATTTGGGTCAGAGAAAAATTCGAAATTCCGTTGGGAAATCAAGGAAAAGTCAAGGAAAAACGAAATGAAATTTTGGTGGTAACCTTGACATTAAATTTTGGTAAAATTTTTTATCTGTACTAAAAATTTTCTGTCAGGAAAAATTTTTTAATGTCAGGGAAAAGTCAGAGAAATTAAAAAATGAATTCTTGTGGCAATCCTGTCTATAAAGTATTGTTATGTATTTTATGTGAATATTTTAACTCGATTAAACTAAACAATTTTTTAGGCTTACCAGAAACTTTCAATTTTAATTGAAAAAAGCATCCCACATGTTGAAGGAGCAGATTCACCGACCGAGGTTTCATTTCCGAATCTAGTGATAGAAACCAATGAAATCGTTTCATTGCCAAAGGAAAACGAAGCAGTTTCTGATGAGCCTCTGCCTAAGATGTTAAATGCAGGCATTCAAACTGATTTAACATCATGTTTGTTGGAACTTAATTTCGATGATATGTGTATATCAGATTCTCTTATTCGTGACCTTAAAAAGAGGCTTAGAAAGTTTGGTTTGCACGAGGAAGCGTTTAAAGAGAATGACACAAGGACTAAGTATTTAACTGGTTTAGAGAATTCGAAAATCCTATTCCTTATCCATGAAACAATTGCTCCTTATCTTCCTATGAATAATACTAAATTGTCCACTTTTCAACAACTAGTTTTAACTTTGATGAAACTTAGGTTAAATTTGGATTTTAAGTACTTGGCTGATAGGTATAGCGGTTTGCGTTTATACATAGTTGTGTATTTGTATATATCAGGGTTACCACGGTGTCGGGGGGGTTTGTTAAAATTCATTATCTGTACTAAAAATTTTCTGTCAGGGAAAAGTCAGGGAAATTGAAAAATGGATTCTTGTGGTAACCCTGTACATATATTGTAATATTAACTAGTCTTTTCTGAGTTTATAGGTTCAACGTGTGCCAAACAACAGCTTCAAATATCTTTCACTGATGTTTAAATGTGCTGTACGATATGTTCCATGGACTGGTGTATTGGCCAAGCAGAGACGAACTACATGCAACAATGCCGACTTGTTTTCAGGAGAGTTTTGGTGATAGTATAGCTATTATAATTGATTGCTTTGAAATTTTTACTGAAACACCTTCTAATTTGTTGACAGCTGCTCAGTGTTGGTCGCATTACAAGCATCACGAAACAGTTAAAGTGCTGATTGGAATCACACCTCAAGGAACCATTTCATTTATATCAGAAGCTTTTGGAGGACGAATAAGCGACAAACAAATAACAAAAGATTCAGGAATATTGGACCATTTGATACCTCAAGATGTTGTTCTGGCTGATCGCGGTTTCTTAATTGAAGACTTGCTGACACCAATGCTAGTTACTTTAAAAATGCCAGCTTTCACGAAAGGTAAAAAATATCTTTCAATTAAAAAATTTATGCAATACAAAAAAATATATCTTATAAAAATAGTGAAACATTAAATTCTTTAGGTAAATCACAGCTTCACCCTTTGGAATTAGAAGAAACTCGGAAAATTGCTCACGTTCGCATCCATGTTGAACGTGTCATCGGAGCTTTGAGACAAAAATTTGGAATCTTACATGATACATTAACCATTGCTATGCTAGCGACAACAGAGGGAAATGTAAGCCAATTAGATAAAATTATTCGTGTTTGCGCTGCGTTGTATAATTTAAATACTTCTATCATATCTTAAGCATGCAATTTAAACTTTTTATTTGTTCGGTGGAAATTTAATTTTGGGTGATTCATCATCTTGAAAATCTAGTAATTCTATAATAGTATTTTTCATGTTTTTATTGTACAATTTCAAAACTAAAAATTTTACTTAATATTCTTAATGATAAACGAAATTTGTTAGATGATAAATCATTTAAAAGTAAATTTAAAAGCGATTAATCAAGGTTTGTACTCAAACGGGGCTTAATGTACAGTGAAACTTGATCTGATTGCATTTAAGACATGATTGGGATTTTTTAATTTCTTTCTAATTTTTGGCTGGTGTGCAATTTATTTTAAAAATATTGTTCTATTTGTAAGTGTTGAAAAATAATTTAAGGTTTCTAAAATTGTTTTATGTTATAATTTTAATTAAATTAAAATTATAACTAATTATAATTATTATAACTAATTATAATTATATAACATTTTTATAAAATGTTATGAAGTTAAAATTCACGAAAATAATTAGTTGTGCTAATTAATTAATTAGTTAATAATTTCCGTTAAATTACCAAATTTTCATTTGTTTTGAAGATGATTTAATTTGTTTAACATTGTTATTACTGATAAATTAATCGCACATTAAAAAGAAATAAAATCTGTTTTACAATCTAATTGTAAGGTTAAAGTTTATTATATTAAAGTAGAACAACTCGTGAAAAAACTGCACAAAAAACACTACAACAAAATTTTTAGACACCCTGAATTTGCTTTTCAAATGATTTCATCTTGTCAAGTTAACAGAATACCTATATCTTTGCACTGCTTTTATTTATCATTTATGTTTTGGTTTATTTAAATATTTTAAATGGTGTAATTTTTCACAATTTGACTAACTCCATATATTAAAAATCGCATGATTTAAAAATTTTATTTTACAAATATCTTAATTATTTCATTGAAATAAAAGTAAGTATAGAAACTCAATTGTAAGTATTCACAGAATTTAGTATGAATGTTCGACATTTTTTTATTTGGTGTTGGCAAAATTTACAGCTTTTTTTATGGTGTGCTAAAATATTTGTAAAAAGAGTGTTATTGGAATAAGTGTTAATGTATTACTGTTCACATTTTCAATATATTTTATAAAATATTTATAAATATTTGTTATATTATTTTAATGTATATCTGACGAACATGAAAAATAAAACAATTGTTTTGTAAATTTGTTATTTTATTTACTTTTATAAAAAGTGTATAATTTTTTTTAAAGATAAAACCCTTATTGCTACAACACATTCAAATTTATTACTCCAAAAAGAGTAGAACTGCATGTCTTACAAAACCAATAAAGTGTAGGGACGGCAGCAAAACTTAAGCATTTCAAATGAAACCATTGAATAGGACAATCGGCATTGGCACATCTTAACATTTCCTGACCATCTTGTTGAGGTTGTTGACAATCGCACCACAATGGTTCGCTATGAGATGCATGATTATTTTGCTGCGTGTAACACCTTCCCAATAATTCAGGCATAATGACCATTTTATGAAAATGAACAGCTCTTTGAACAATATCTTCACAAAAATCGTGATCGATAAAAATTCTTTTAATAAACAAAAATCCCTTACACCATATGACGAAATCGCAGTAATGCAATTTGGAAACGTACATTTGTAATTGGATTTGGTAATAATAGCTATGTGTTTTAATTAACGTATATTCCGAGTCATCATCCTTGCATAAACAGGAACCTTTCATGTCACAAAATTGTTCAACGTCAAAATTACCATCCTTTAATACATATGGACACTTTATTTCCAGACAACCAGAACCACAGCAGTCGCATGACACAAGTCCATCAGGGGTTGCTCCTATCTGTGGATTCTCGAGACAGATTATGAATCCTGTTTTTTCTAATTGAAAATTTTCATGATTTTTTACTGAAAAAGCTTGATATTCACATATAGCAATTTCTTCGTGTTGGATTCCGTATTTGATTTGCTTTGGTTGAAACAAGATCTTTTGCGGATAACAAATTGATTTAATTAATGACACAGATGGTTTGTCGAGTGATGTCCTGCAAACGCCCTTGATGTTGGAGGCCGTTATTCTCCCAGATTTTACTTTATACCACTTATCGTTTTTATTCTGCAGAACAGTCTCTTTTTGGATGTAATCTAGCTCTTATTTGTAACTCCAAAATCGACATCAACATTTTGCAAATCTTCAAGACTGAATTTCTCAAAACTTTCATTGTATAAATTTAGTAAAATTAATGGCGTCTTGTCTTCACGTGTAATCTTTCGAGCAAAAGCAAATGGTCCTATAACACTTAAAAGAGCAGATGTAGGGTTTGCATCTTCGACCTTTTTTAGGAAGTCGTAGAGAGATCCTCCTTGCAATCTTGGAACATCTTTATCAGAGCCTACAATAATTGAATAAGTTAGTGAAAATTGTAACCTTGAAGAACCAGAAAAATTGTCAGGAATTTGCAAAAAATCTCAGATTGTACAACTTTCGATTTTTTCGACTGTTTTTTTTCGAAAATATGATATTTCTGTAATTTGTTGCGAAGTCAATTATTTCAATAATTTTAATAAAGTTCAAAAAGGTTTGTCTTTAAATTCTCCAAAAATAAATAATTTAATATATTAGGTATTTATAATTATTAGTCAAATCAGGTTTGCCAAAAAATCCATTTTTCAGTTTCCCTGACTTTTCTTTGACATTAAAATAATTTTCCCTGGCACAAAATTTTTATCACAGATAACGAATTTTAACAAAAATTGAATGTTAAGGTTGTCAACAAAATTTGATTTTGGTTTTCCCTGACTTTTCCCTAATTTCCAGACAGAATTTTGAATTTTTCCTTGACACAAATGAAAACTTTTCAAGAGGTTCTCCAATATAAAAAATAAGAACAATTTTTAAAGAATAAAATTTTCGCTGCATTTTTAAGAATTTAATATTTTTTAAGTACTTTTGATAAAATTCCTTAACTTTTCAATTTAAAATCTGAAATTTAATTATTTTTAAGAATATAAACAACGAATATTTCAAAATAGAATTATTTTTAACAATCTAAACTGCAAATCATCCAGAATACAATTATTTGAAACATTTTTCAATTAAAAATTCTCTAAAGTTCAATTATTATGAAAAATTCGTAAAAAGTTTTCAGCAGTTCAAATTTACAAAAATTTCAAGTTCAAATATCTTGAAATTAAATTATTTAATATAGTTCAATCAGTAGCTCTTCCAAAATTGAATTCTTTAAAAAAATTTCGAATTTAAAAATTCTCTAAAATTTAATTTCCTGTAGTAATAAGTAAACAAATCTTCAGCTATTCTAATTGACAACAATTCCAATGAAATTAAATTATTAAAAAAAATTGAAGTGTTTCTAAATTTAGAATAATTATATTTACATTATTTCTATTAGTGAATGTTTTCATCAAGAAAATTTAAAATTTCAAAATTTTCCCTGACAAAAAACTTTTTCCCCTGACATTTCCCTGACTTTTCTGACAAAAAAATTTTTCCTGGCATTTCCTTGACTTTCCTAACACGTGGCAATCATACCAAATTAATTATTTTCATAATTTTTTAGCAAATTCAAATTTTCTATTGAATTTTCACCGCTCAATACGTAGTACAATAAATTTATGTTTTACCTTTTTTAATAATATTCTTTCCCCAATTCATGTTTGCTACTTTTGCTGGTTCCACTTTGGTTACTTTCGGTATTTTTCATAAAGCCAATTTACCAGTACAAGATGTTTCATCGGTTAGCAGACCTAATTCTAGAGCAAATAAAATAGCTGCAACATGACTGCAAACCTCTCCCAGTCCAGCCATACAGGTACAATGTGCAGTCGAAATTGTTCCACTAGAAAAAATTTTTATCCATACTTGCAAATTGGAAGCATTCATTCTTTGGGAATGTTTTACCTATAAAAGAAGAAAAAATTAGAAACTCATATATAATCATAATAACTCAGCGGTTGACAGTCGTGAGAAAAATAAAGAATTTCTTTGATAATGGAATTAATTTTAAAAATTTCTGCTGAGCCATAAATAAATATTATAATTTTCTGACACCTAATATTAAAAAGATAATAATTATAAAAATAACAATACTACATAAAATTTCCTGATATAAATTTTAAAAAATTCAATTTTTAGTAATTGCTGCAGCTAATGTAATATTTAATTAGTTTGTCTTTTGCTTAATATTTCACTACCTAAAACAATGGAAATAACTATTAATTTGTAAGTTTATGAATTAAAGAGAAATCATAGATTTCTTTCATTTTTAATTTATAACTTAATACTATATATAAATGTGTCTCAACGCAGTTAATGTATTTACTATTTACTATTACATAAAAATTCGTATATACATACCTCACCACGCACGACATACTTGTCGTTTATTTTTATAAAAAGAATCTTTTGTACAAATCCAGCGACAAGAAATTTAAAAGCTTCCAAGCTTTTAAAAGCTTTTACTTCATCTTCAGTGTAGCAACTACGTGTTGAAAGTAAATATCTATATAAATCAACCACTTCAATTGGCACTAGTTCTTTGAGGTTAGCACTCAAATCACTTTCTTTAATCGCATAAGGATCACAATTGTTAATATCCTTTATTTTTTCTAAATACCGACGCTTCACATCTCCTTGAAGAGTATGAAAATACTTGCTAAACATTTTTACTTTTTGTTTAAATTAATTTATTTCACCGGCATTCACATAATCTCTATGCAACTGAATGTAAACATGCACCACGCGTGTTAACTACGTACAGATATTGCTTTTACCGACGCGTTGTGACGTCACACTGGATTGCTCAATACTGAGTAGCTGCACTAGGCGGGAATTATGACTCCAAGTATTGTGAGACTACAAGGCTTTCAACATGCCTTTCAGAAGGATTAAAATAAGTGCTAATTAAGTCAGGTTAAATAAACACTGGACACTTATGTCGGGAATATATAAATTGGTATATTTTTTCTATTGTTATATATAATATCACAGATAAATAACGATATGTCGAATAGCAGCAACACTCTCTCACGTTCGGGGATTCTCTACCTAGCGTCACTCAAGAGGTACGCGGGAGAAGTCCTTAAGACGGTATCACAAGTTTGCTACTAGTTTACAATATTTACGACGACCTAAAGGCGGACTCCCACACACTCCCCCCCAAGTGACAACGAGATTTCTCGAGGAAGGAACGATTAATCAATATTGAGTTTTTGAATTTATGAATCAAACTTGTCATTGAAAAGTATTTTACAAACTTGTCTTTTTTTTTTACTGTAACCTTGTAGGTTCGCACTTTATTAAACAAGATTATTTTTTTTTTTATTTTATTTATTTGGATTCATGTTCCTACGTAAAATTGCTGGTATGAATTTAGTGCGTTTTTGACTTTGTGCCTCATTATTGGGCTTTTTGACAATATCCGCGAAAGTGTTCCTTTCTCGGACATTTGCAGTACTTTGACTAGATTTTTGAGAATTTTTATTTAAACTTATTTGATTATCTTGGACAAACCTCACGCGTTTCTCGATCCGCTCGTTTGGAATTATCACAGTTTTGTTTACTTTAGTCGAAATTTTAACCTTAATATCGCGATTCGAAGTGCTTGGTTCGTCTGGGTTTTCAAAGTTACCTAAATTTAAATTTATTTGTTCTGGTTGCTGAATCACGTTTCTTTGAGCCGAATTATCCGAATTGTTCGAGTTATTCCCGATATGCGTTGCATATCTTTCGATGTTAAATATTGGGTTTCCGGTAAGCGCTGGACCGATTTTGTTCGATATTTTTACATTGGTTCTTTCGTTGACCGTTTTTTTGTTATCGTTACCGCGTATCATTATCCACTCTTCTTGTGGAATAAAGTGAGCCGGTTTGACATTTTCTATCGAAACGCTTTTGCTTTTCCCGTTTACATCTATTTCATAAACTCTTTCGGAAACTCGTTTGATTATTTTATGCGGACCTGAATACGGGCATTGAAGTGACCTTTTGTTTGGGGGTGCACGCAAGAATACATGAGTGCAGTCTTTCAGTTCTTTATGAACGAAAACTTTTCTCCTGTCGTGGCGCTCCACCGGCACTGCACGCACTTGATGCATATGGCGACGGAACTCAGAAAGGAAATGGTTGGGGTCAGCTGACTCGTTCTCGGGGACAATTAGTTCGCCCGGTATGCGTAAAGTCGTACCGTACACATATTCGGCCGGTGATGCTCCGTTGTCCGTAACGTAAATTCGCATGCCCAGAAGCACTGTTGAAATGACGTGAATCCAGTCGTTTTCCGCGTGGCACATTATTGCGGCTTTCAATGTCCTGTGTGACCTTTCCACAAGACCATTCGATGCGGGGTGATAAGACGTTGTTCGAATTCTGTCGCAGCCAATCACGCGCCTGAGTTCTGAGAATAATCTAGCTTCAAATTGTGTGCCCTGATCGGTTGTCAATGTTTCTGGGCTCCCGAAGCGTGTGATCCAGTTGTCCACAAACGCACGACAAACTGTCTGGGCGCTGATGTTTTTTAGGGGGATTGCCTCGGGCCATCGCGAAAACCTGTCAATAAGAGTGAGACAGTAGCGGTATCCTTCGCAATCGGGCAGTGGTCCTATTATGTCCATGTGTATGTGCTTAAAACGACCTGAGGGGAGTGCAAAATTTGCGGGTTGCATGTGAACGTGTCTCCCCGTTTTGGCACGCTGACACTGTAGACAGCCTCTTGCCCACGATTTGAGATCTTTATTGATAGACGGCCATGTGTATTTCCGCTTGATTAGGCGAGTTGTTGCCCTGGAACTGGGATGAGATGGATTATGGAACAACTGAAACACCTGGAATCTTAAATTTTTTGGGATGATTGGTCGAATATTTTCTTCGGATGTGTCACACCAGATTTCCGCGTTTTCGTCGCCTAAACTTATTTTCCGCAACTTTAGAGATGAACTACCCGATTTGAGGATACGTTTCAAGTCATTATCGTTACGTTGTTCATTCGCGATTTGTTCAAATGTTATTGCAGTGGGCATGTTGATTGTATCTACGCGAGACAACGCGTCTGCGACCACATTCTCTTCACCTGATATATGCTGGATTCTATTTGTGAACTGAGAGATTGTGCTGATCTGATGTTGTTGTCTCTTCGAAATTTTGTCGGCTTTTTGAGTTAACGCGTAGATGTGGGGTTTGTGGTCTGTTACCACAGTAAATTCCCTGAACTGCAATGAATGTTTAAAGTTAATTATCGCTTCGTAAATCGCGGTTAATTCGCGGTCGTACGTGCTGTAACGTTGTTGCGTGGGTGTGAATTTTCTTGAGAAGAATCCCAGCGGTTCCCAGTGATCTTTTGTCTTTTGCTCCAATGCGGCTCCCATTCCGGTGTCCGATGCGTCCGTAACTAGGCGCAATTCGGCATCGCTGCATGGGTAAGCCAATTTGACCACTGAAGCTAAATCATGTTTGATTTTTTCGAATGCGATTTCCGATTCTTCGTTCCACGCGACTTTTCGTTTGTCATTTTTCCGTATGTCGCGAAGATGTTCGTGAAGAGGTGCTTGCCATCTCGCGGCATGTGGTAAACTTCTCCGATAAAAGTTTACCAGTCCGAGCCAACGTCTGAGATCATTGTTCGTAACCGGTTTGGGCCACTTTGTAATCGCTTCGATTTTTTCCGGAGTTGGTTTGGATCCCTCGCTGTTTATCACGAAACCTAGAAACTCAATTTCGGGTTGTCCAAATTGACATTTTGATGGGTTTAAACGTAGACCGAATTTTTTTAAACGACTGAAAACCTCTCTCAAATGTTTTTTGTGTTCTTCCGGATCCTTTGATGCTATCAGGATGTCATCGATGTATGCATAAACATAGTCTAGATCGCCCAAAGCTTGGTATATATATCGCTGAAAAGTTTGTCCGGCATTGCGCAATCCAAAGGTCATTCGGGTGTATTCGAACAGTCCGAAGGGTGTTATAACCGCAGTTTTCGGGATGTCTTCCTCCGCGACTGGAATTTGGTGATAAGCTTTATACATGTCGAGCTTCGTAAAGAGTTTTTTACCATGTAAATTTGCTGTGAAATCTTGTAGATAAGGGACTGGGAATTTGTCCGGTTCCGTTACCGCATTAATGCGTCTGAAATCTCCGCATATCCTCCAGGTTCCATCTTTTTTTAATTTCATTAAAATGGGTGAAGCCCAAGAACCACTGGATGGTCTGCAAATTTTTGCCTCAATCATTTGTTGAAATTGCGTTTTCGCAATATTTAGTTTTTCTGGGTCTAGTCGCCGTGCACGTTGTGCTATTGGATATCCGGTTGTTATTATGTGGTGCACCGTGCTGCAGTTCGATATATTTGTCGAGTCTTGAAGCTTGGTGATTTCCGGAAATTCGTCCAATATTTTTGCGTACTCTGAAGAGCGATCTATGAGGCTGACATTGCGAAAATTTGCATGTTTGAGAGTTGCGTTAATTTGCAAATTTGTACATGAGTCTGTTATTTTTCGGGCGCGTAGATCCACAAGGAGTCCATAATGGGCTAACATGTCTGCACCAATAATGGGGTATGGAACATCCGCTACACAAAATTCCCATGCGAAGTCACGACGTAATCCGAGATTGAGATTCAGGCGTTTAGTACCGTATGTTGGAATGCGAGAGTTGTTTGCCGCGAAAAGAGTTAGTTCCGCCGGGGTGACATTTAAATTTCCGATACGTGGAATAATAGAAATATCGGACCCCGTGTCGATTAAAAACTTTAAACGCAAGTTTTTATCAAAAACGTGAAGAGGCTTCGAGCCTTTTGGGTCACCAATTGCGTCGATTCGGTGAGGCTTGTTTATTTTCCCGAGTCCTGTTTCTTTGCCCAGTTGCATGGTGCTGTGCATTTATTTGGAAGGCATTTGTCCTCAAATTTCCAATGATACCAGCACACGTCCTGCGAGTTATCGTAACGGGGTCGATTTCGATATTTCTCACGACGTGAATTTGATCGCGACCGATTTTATGATTTATTACGTTTTTCTCCTCGGAATTGGTTCCGTCCTCTATTCGTGTTGTTAATTTTTTTATGTAAATTCGCTAATTCTGCGGTGATCGCGTCGATTCTCGTTAAAATCTCGGGGGTGGAATTTTCTATCGCAGCGACACTGGTAGGTTGCTCGTTTTTTCCTTGTCCTTGCATTTCTTCCGTAATTTTATCTGCCATTTTCGCGAGTTTCGCTAAATCCTTTGTAGAACTTAGAGTTAAAATTTGTCGGTGTAACGTTGGTAAATGTTCCATAAATAGGGAACGTAATACTTCCTCGCTGCACTGACCGTTCGCGGTATTACGCATTTGACTAAGAATAAACGAAGGTTTGCCGTTTAGAACTTCCCCTTTTAATAATTGTCGCAGGCGATGTTCGTTACTCGTGCCGAAATTCTCGAGAATACCTTTTTTAATTTGCGAATAAACATTCTCGGGTGGAGGGTCTAGTAAAACTATGCATCGAACACAAGTTAAAATTTCTGAGTCGATCGCGGCCACTAAAACGTCGGCTTTATCCTTTTCTACTTCGACCTTATGTCTATTTAAAAGTCTTTCAACCTGATTAAACCATAAATCTGGATCGTTTTTATTAAATGGGGGTAACCGAATAACCGAATTGCGATTGAATTGTCCTTCATCTTGAGACATAGTGACCAGCGGGGGTAGGTGACTCGTTTGTGACACAGGAGTTAATGTTACTGGTGGGGTGTC